AATTTTTTGAAATTACTACGTTCCCCAACACCATCATGTCGGACCCCTTCTCCGCCGCCATTATCGATCATCTCTTCGTCTTGCCTCGTGCCGTCACTATCCGCCCCGTCGGCGTCCTCAACATCATCATCCTCATCTTCAATTATCCAGCAAGTATAGCCATCCATGAAACCAGTCATGAGCAGGTGCGCCATCGCATCATAGGGGTCGAACCAAACTCCTCCTTTGCATCTTCGACACGGACATAAAACCTCTGTCAGGTTATTTTCTTTCATGTCCAGCACCGCCGACCGCAACCACCTGTCACCATCGTTCCACTGACCATCATGAATGCCTGCATGGTAACAATAAACAAATTGATTATAAAAATGCATGCATGCATCAAAGTCATACAAAAATTCGGCATGATCTTCCCTAAAAATAGGACATATAGAGTTTGCCCGAAATTCACCGAAACGGAAATAAATCGACATTTTGGCAAAACATAGGCAACTCACAAGCACAATTCGGCGGCAACTCATGCCACACACACAATTTCCATCATATCGCCCGATTATGTCATATCACACACATACACATATTTCCATTCTTGCAAAAGCATAACTTTTAAATCACATATCTCGAGATCAAGCACAGTGATGATGTTGTCGTGTCGCCACACACACCTATGGAATGATCAAAAGTGGACAAATTAAGCTCTTCTTGACAAGGCTATAGATCTAGTTAGGGAGGTACATAGGTCACTTCACTAAATGCTAGCTAGATCTACCTAGCTAGCTAATTTGGGAGGAGACAAGTTCAACTAGTGGAGGGGGGAGGAAAAAGAGAAAGGAGATGCATTAATGGAGGTGGTGTAGTTAGCTAGGAGTAATAAAGAGAGAGAAAGATAGGTAGAAGAAGGAGAGTAATGGGGGGATAAGTAGTGAGAAAGAAGCAAAGTGAGGGAGAGAGGAGGTGGGAGGGGAAAGTGAAGGAAGAGAGGATTGGGGAGGGGAGAGAGGGGGATGAAAAAGGTGGTATGGCTGCGGTTTAGCAGTAGCGCTGGTCGCAAAACGCGCTGCTGCTAACACCATAGCAGTAGCGCGCTCCAGGCGGACGCGCTACTTCTAAGCAGGGCCCGCCATGTGGCCAGGTTCAAAATTATAAGTAGTGACGTGCAACAAAAGCGCGCTACTACTATCTGGTTAGTAGTAGTGCGGTTACCGTGGACGCGCTACTGCTAAACCTAGTGTGGCGGGAACGGTCGGCCAATTTTAGTAGTAGCATGGTTCTACCGAGATGCGCTACTGCTAAGCTGGTAGCAGTAGCGCCTGTTATCGGCAGGCCGAAATCACTGTTTTGACCTTATCAGCAATCTTCGTCACAAAATGAACTCGATTTGAAAGTATTTCACAATCTGACCTTTTTAGAAACGCCACAGCCCGTGACGTTGCTGCTCCACATAAAAACGCCGAGGTATGCTGCGTTTCTGCTCTGTTGACATGGCAGGCAGAGACGCCGAGGTTTCCTGCGTTTCTGGAAACGCCGCTATTGTTCGCGTTTCTGGCCAGGCTGCAAACGCCAAAGGTCCTGGCGTTGCTGCCCATGATACAGTGATTTTGGCCTGCATGCCGCTGGCTAGCTAGTCACTATGTCCAGTATCCCACAAAGCTAACCTGCCTGCCCTGTGTAGCCTTCACTGGTCCTACTCTCTTACACGAAATTCTTGCGTAGCCTTCACTGCTCCTGTCAATTCACTGCTCTTTGTGGAGATTAAATCTGTAGCAATTAGGGACCAAAGTGTGTTGTAGCTTCACGTGACTAGTACTAGTTGAGGTAGTACAAGCCGACCAATACTTAGAGGCGACAGTACTAGTTGAGGTAGTGGACAGGGAAGACGTGGCCGCACTTCTGAACACGTGGCCGTGCGATGAAACTTTGTCAACGGTGACGTGCGGCTGCAGCGGCAGCGTACCCAGCTTTCAACGGAATCGAACCCTGATAGAACAGATCATACAAGCGGCCGCGGTGCACAGCAGAAATCGATCTCGATCTCCCGTCGGGCCAAAAACGCCAGCGTTTGTAGACGAGTTAGAAACGCCAATAGTTCTGGCGTTTCCGGCGTGCCACGTCAGCAAGCGACGCTAGCTCGGCCTGGACGGCAACGCTTGCTACCTTGGCGTTTTCATTTGGAGCAGAAACGCTGGCTAGGTCGGCGTTTCTATATGGAGGAGAAACGCCACGGTCAATGGCGTTGCGAAAAGGGTCAGATTGTGAAATAGTTTCGTTCAGAGTTTATTTTGTGTCATAGTTTCCAGACAAGGTCAGAATAGTGATTTTGGCCTTATCGGCACGCACTACTGATAATTAGCAGTAGCACCTCTTTTTGACCAACGCTACTGCTAAGTTTCTGTGTATAAGGTTTTCCCTAGTAGTGTGAGAGTGCGTATAATCCATGGACACAACATTAGTCATAAAGAACTCAAATACTTATTGCAAAAGTTTATTGGCCCTCGAAACA